CTGGCTTCCCCTGCAGTACCTGTACATTTCAGCACTTGTTGCCCTTCTAACTTTCTCTCTCAACCCTCTCCTAAGAGCATGGCTTTAGTTTAGATACATCTCCCTGCTTGCTTTTCCCTGGACAAGCCAGCTAGGCTCTTGGCCTCTGGGCCTTGCCTTGGCTGTTTTCTTCTGCCTGAAAACAAGATATACACCTGGCTCAGCCTCTCACTTTCAGGTCTTTGTCAAAGACCCTCTAGTTCGGGAGGCCCCCTCCCCTTACTATTCTAGTTACCACTCACCACTCACTCCATATTCATTTTCTTTTTTTAAATTTTTCTTACATGACAGTCACAGAGAGATGCAGAGACACAGGCAGAGGGAGAAGCAGGCTCCCCAGTGTGGGACTCTGTCCCAGGACCCCGGGCTCACTCCCTGAGCAAAAGGCAGATGCTCAACCACTGAGCCACCCAGGTGTCCCATCCATATTCATTTTCTACAGCACCATTACTTTTTAGAATGATCGCAAAATGACCTGTGTTTCTGTTTGTCATCCTCAACCAGAATGTAAGCTTTATGAGGGATTCTTTGCTTAGTTGGTTTCCTTTTCTATCTTGATCGCTTAGAAAAGTCAATGGCACAGAGTAGTTACTTCCCACATGTGTACTAGAGCAAAAGTGCCCTCTGGCAACTTTTCCTTGCTGCTTTCTCTTGCTCACTTCAAGGCCATTGTCTCAGTTTCTAGGAGTGAAAACCAATAATTTTGGGGGATGGAATAAATACACTCAGTATAGGCAGGAACCAAACATGGAGTTTATATTCTGCTCATTCTTTTGCTTCCTAAACTTCAGTGTCTTCTGCTGACCTTCCATGATACCTTATTTTTTTAGACACCTAAAGTAAGACTCCTTTAGTTATTTCTGTTCACCTCACCCTCTTGGATAACTTTACTAATAAATGTTAAGAGCTGTCAGTGTTATGCACAAATCACAGGTGTTTTTCAGAGATAATCTCAAATCCCTTGCAGATAGTGTCAATGCAGTTACAGATGAAATGATAATTATTTCCGGGCAACGAGGTGAGTTCATGGAATCTCAGCCCTTTATCTTATTGTCCAGATGACCCCTTTCTACACCTGTGTGGATGTTGCCCCTGCAGTCACTGTCCTGACATCAGACAGCAATTTGGTAAGTAGCTATTCTTTTCAAATAACTATTAAACTCTCAGAAGGAATAGAAGCCACCCCATCATACCCTGTGTCCCATAGGAAACAGTGTATAGATGAAACCATTCTGCCTGCTGAGGCTAGAACACCAACACACATAACCAGAGGCAGGCTGTTAGTGTTCTAAGGGATTTTGAGAAACGCTGTTGCCCTGTTCAGCTTTTCTGGGACTGCCAGACATTACCCCTCCATCTTTTCTGTGTCCTGTGATCTCTACCTTGTTACTGACAAACCCACTGACCCTGAAAATATTTTCCTTAAGACTCTTCTCTGTAGATACATGAAGGGCAAAGAGATAACATTTGTCAGCTTCCACCCACTAATACTTGGTGGTGCTGGCATTTGCTTTCTTCATCTCTGGGAACTAGTGTGCCTAACTGGTCTGTAATAGAGCATCTCCAGAATTTCTACCCTCAGTAAACAGTAGGAGACTTCTAGCTCCTCTGTACAGAAATAAGTCTCTTTAAAGGAAAAGTGACTCAAAAACTGCACTTTTAAAAAGTGCTTGATATTCCTGTTCATTTTTTTTTAATTTATTTATTTATGATAGTCACACAGAGAGAGGCAGAGACACAGGCAGAGGGAGAAGCAGGCTCCATGCACTGGGAGCCCGATGTGGGATTCGATCCCGGGTCTCCAGGATCGCGCCCTGGGCCAAAGGCAGGCGCCAAACCGCTGCGCCACCCAGGGATCCCTGATATTCCTGTTCATTTAGTGATATATTAACCTATCTGTGCTCACAGGGCCTCTGCATCAAAGGGCACTCTGGGAGTTACTCCACCTGCCCACCCATAATTAATAAGGTGGTTTAGGGATCCCTGGGTGGCTCAGCAGTTTGGCACCTGTCTTAGGCCCAGGGCGTGATCCTGGAGACCCGAGATCGAGTCCCACATTGGTCTCCCTGCATGGAGCCTGCTTCTCCCTCTGCCTGTGTCTCTACCTCTCTCTGTGTGTCTCTCATGAATAAATAAATAAAATCTTAAAAAAAATAAAGTGGTTTATTACTCCAGCATTCAAAACTCTAACCAGCTGGGTGCTTTTAATTAAGTTGTCCATAGAATACTTATGAGCAGAGAAGAGCTGAGCTTTATTCTCTCTGAATAACTGCAGTCCTTAGTGGACAGATGGGATCAGTAACCACAGTAGTTTTAGGATTCTCAGGCTCAGTTGAGGTCTAGGTAATACAAACTGTTCATTTTCACATAAAGTCAACTGATCTATTAATTCTCTAAATTCATTTCACAATTTAAAATAATTTGGCTCTTTCCCTTCTCTCTTAACTTAGTTTGCTTCATTGATTAATTCAATTTATTTTTACCCTAAATGTGCTTCCCTATCTTTTAAAATATTTTATTTATTTATTTGAGAGAGAGAGAGAGAGAGAAAGAGAAGGGAGGGAGGGACCAGCAGAATCTGCCCTGAGCACAGAACCTGATACAGGGCTCAATCCTACAGTCCCAAGATCATGACCTGAGCCAAAATCAAGAGTGGGAGGCTCAACAAACTAAGTCACACAGACACCCCTCTTTTTATTTTAAGTGCTATTGTGTAAATTAGAGTATCTTCCAGGAAAGTTCTGTAGAAGGTGTGTGTGTGTGTGTGTGTGTGTGTGTGTGTGTGACACTGGAGTACACATTGCTCTCTGAAGCTATCTGCTGCTCCCCATATCTCCTCTATATCTATGAGGTGAGCACTCTTGTCAGCAGTGTGGGCTGAGAAGCATTTGGTTTACTTAGAAATATACAGTGCCTTCTCTCTTACTTGCCCTCCTGTCCTAGTTAATCATTTTCTCATTAGCTCTATAAAATACACTCACTGAAGTACTCAGAATACAAATCATTGCTTGGAGGATTTCTCTCATAACCTCTGATCCCACCAGAGGGTTTTATGTGTATCAAAATTCAGTTAGTTTCTTTCCCAAATTCTTAATTCCAATGTTACTTTAAAATTTTATCATTTGCTTAATATAATGTTTACCAGTGGAATGCAATTGCAGGAAAAGTTTCTATTTAAGATATTCCTTAAAATATAGTGCTCGCTTTGGCAGCATTTATACTTAAAATATAAACAAACAAACAAATAAATAAAAATAAAAGATTCCTCATTTTAAAAATTTTAGGTCCTAACAATAAAATTCAATATGAGTTAAAAGTGAGGGTTAAACTGTAAATGATTAGAATATAATATATAATCTTTGACATTTTATACCTAGATTTATGAAATATTTTGAAATTTTTAGTCCACTTACAGAACTCTAGTAATTAAATAATATTATAATATTATAATAATAGTAATTGTATTTAATTCACTTTTGTTTTTTATAAACACAAAGGATGATAAAATATTTATTGGGAGACCCATAGTAAAAATTTGACCATATAAGAAATTAGAGAAAATTATGTACCTTAATGGTGAAATATCAAATATCACTTAACCTGTGTTTTCATAAACATATATGAGATGAGCATTTAATATGTGTTTACAGTTGTTTTCCTCCTAAAATGCTTTTTCATAAAATTTGCCAGAATTTTTGTCTGTTATCAAATTAATAGGGATACTGAAAATTGTCAGGACACCTTCCTCTATATAATTTATGTATTAAATATTTTAATTGGGCTGCATTAAAAATATTAAGTATCATTTTTTTAAAAGGTTTTACTTATTAGTTGAGAGAGAGCATGCACTGCACAGGAGAGCACAAGCAGGGGTCAGGGAGAGGCTGAGGCAGAGGGAGAAGCTTGTTCTCTGCTGAGCAGGGAGGCGAGGGTGGGCTCTATCCTAGGACCCTGGGAACATGACCTCAGCCAAAGGCCGATGCTTAACCGACTGAGCCACCCAGGTGCCCCTCAAATGATATATTTGTGACCAAAAGCTTCAGAATGCAATTTTATTGACAAACACCAAAAACGGTCAAGTACTTTTCTTTGTCCCTGAGCCAACCAACTGAAGCTCACAAAAGTGACTTTAACACTTCAGCCTGCATTCGTTTAAAGGGCAGTAAGATAATGTTTATTCGCTTCCAGCTATCAGTGGCTATCCACTAGAGTTGGCTTCATAGAGTCTGAAACACCTCAGTGATCAGGAGCACCAAAGACGCTGAGGGCGCTTAAGACTTCCCAGAAGTTGGCCCACCCCTTTAAGAAGGAGTGAAGTCGGGGATCCCTGGGTGGCACAGCGGTTTGGCGCCTGCCTTTGGCCCAGGGCGCGATCCTGGAGACCCAGGATAGAATCCCACGTCGGGCTCCTGGTGCATGGAGCCTGCTTCTCCCTCTGCCTATGTCTCTGCCTCTCTCTCTCTCTGTGACTATCATAAATAAATAAAACTTAAAAAAAAAAAAAAAAAAAAAAAAGGAGGGAAGTCGGGCATTCCCAGGTGGCTTGGCGGTTTAGCGCTGCCTTCAGCCCAGGGCCTGATCCTGGAGACCCAGGATCCAGTCCCATGTCAGGCTCCCTGCATGGAGCCTGCTTCTCCCTCCACCTGTGTCTCTGTCCCTGTTTCTCGTGAGTAAATAAATAAACTCTTAAAAAAAAAAAAAGGAGCGAAGTCCTTCCCCCACCCTAGAAGTATAGGAGGGTCATTTCCCGTAGGCCTCGCTTTTGCTGTTCGACCATTGCTCTGGGAGTTTTTGGTGTTGGGCGCTCCTCTTTCAGACCTGCCCTGCCATTGGAACTACATTACCCAGAAGGCTTTGCGTTGAGCGGCAGCAGTAATACTCCAATGAAAATCCAGAAAGGGGACGTTTCCGTCAGGACAACGTCTTGAGGCGGGGCTTCCGTCGTTTCCGTGGCGGTCATTTTAGCGGTTCCAGGGTCTTTGGGCTCCGTCCGACGATCCGGAATACGGGTTGGGACTCGGGCGACGGACAAGGAAGGCTTAGGGTCGGGAACATTCGCTGCCTGTGAGGCCGGCCTGGAGACTTCGGTGCCCGGGACGGCCGGGTCGCTCAGCTGTCATCATTTGACTCCGTCCCCCGAGTCCGATGGCGGCGCCCGCGCCCATGGACCCGGCGCAGGTAAACGCTAGTTCCCCGGGTCCTCGTCGCCCTCCCCCCACCCAAACCCTCAAGGCCCGACCGCGGGGCGCCTGCTCGCGTGCCTGCGGCCCCGGCCCGAGTATCCGGGACAGAGAGGCGCAGGTGGGCGGGGGCCTCGTGTGTTAGCGCGGGCGTGCTGGCGTGCGGGAGCGAGCTGCAGGGGAGGGGCGGCCTGGGGCTGGGGCAGGAGCTGCGGGTTGGGGGCCTGAGGCGGGAAGACTCTGCGGTCGGGGAACAGGGAACGTGAAGCGGGGTCACGCCGGAACTGGAGGGTGGAGGTGCGGTACCTTTGTTCCGAGGGTCCTGGGACCAATGGTCTCCGTTAAGGTTTGAGATAGCTTTCAGAGTCCGCTCAGTAGAACCGATTATAGGGGTGATGGGACATGGGGCGGGGGTGGGGGTGAGTAGGCAGTGAGTCATTTTCCAAGGACACAGCTAGTTGAGAGCCAGCACAGAGGTTGGCCAATCTGCCCGAGGTTACCTGGCTCTGGTGCCCCGCAGGGACACAGGGAAGGCCTGAGCCCCTGGAAAGTCGCCATGGCCACACCCCTCGAAGACCTGCCTCTTCCCACAGGTTTCCATGGTTGCAGAAGTGTTTTTGGAACCTACACAGGTAAGTGGAGGTGTTCCAGTCCCTCGCTGGTCCTGTCCCACATTTTGTCCAGATTTGTGGTATCATGAAATTCTTCACCTGACATTCTTCCCAGCGCTTGATTTTGGGGCCTCTGAAAAATCCTAGTTTAGGGTCAAGTCTAGGCCTGAGTTTTTTATGAAGAGGTTCCCATTTGGGGCCATCAAAGGAAAGAGATGTGAAAGCTTATTACAAAAACAGGTGTCGGTATATGGAACTGTTCAGAGATGAGGCTAAGTCCATTCAGGTAACTGCAGGCCTCCTTTCTTTCTGGTGAGAACAAACTAGCAGTGGGCCAGAGTCAAGCTTGGAATAACTGCCTGTGAGGTTAGGCATCTATCTGGAGGCAAAGGAAGGTCTGGATCAGAGGGAGGTGATCTTACCTGGATCATAAAACACTCCATCTGGTTAAAGAGTGGGATACAGAGTGAACACAGCAGTTGATAAGAATATAAGGAAAGAGCAGACAGCAGTGACACCAGAGTCTGGTATGTCTTCTGATTTGGGGGTCTTGGGAGGAAGAAGGACATGGGGTAGATGTGTAGGGATATGGGTATTCAGGAGTGAGGCCATTCCTGGTTTCATCTGTCTCTGTCTTGGCAGGGAAGTGTGACTTTTGAGGATGTGGCCCTCTATTTCTCCTGGGAGGAATGGGATCTCTTAGATGAGGATCAGAGATGCCTGTACCATGATGTGATGCTGGAGAACTTTGTACTCACATCCTCTCTAGGTAAGGCCCTCACACCCGCCCCTGTGCCTTGGGCAAGTTTCTGCCTTTTTCTTTTCCACAGGGACAGTTCTGTCTCCCATCTGAACAATAGATACTGCTGCTTTCCCCAATCCCTGGGTAGGTGCTATGGTTTCTAGGGCTGGACTGAGTGCATGCCTATTTCTTTTTATTGCCACACCACCTGCTGCTTCAAACCTTCACAGGGAAGGATTCAGGATCAGTAGTAGTCTTAATGTCAGCCTAATGAATCTTCCCTATTGAATGGTCTTGGCCTCCTTGTGGAAAATCATTTGACCATATATGCAAGGGTTTATTTCTGGGGATCCCTGGGTGGCGCAGCGGTTTAGCGCCTGCCTTTGGCCCAGAGCGCGATCCTGGAGACCCGGGATCGAATCCCACATCGGGCTCCCGGTGCATGGAGCCTGCTTCTCCCTCTGCCTGTGTCTCTGCCTCTCTCTCTCTCTCTCTGACTATCATAAATAAATAAAAATTTAAAAAAAAGAGTTTATTTCTGAAGGGTTTATTCTATTGCATTGGTCTATATTTGTCTTTATGACAGTATCACAGTGTTTTGACTATGATAGTTTTGGAGTAAAATTTTAAATCAAGAAATGTGACTCCTCCAACTTTAGTCTTTTTCAAGATTGTTCTGGCTGTTTGGTGTCCTTGAGATTCCATGTGAATTTTTCTATTTTTCTATTACTACAAAAAAAATTGGAATTTTGATAAGAATTGCATTGGATCTGTAGATGGTTTGGGGTAGTGTTGACATTTTAACAGTATTGTTCAGATCTCGAATCTAGAAGTCTTTCCACTTACTAATGTCTTCTTTAATTCCTTTTAGCAATGTTTTATAGTTTTTTTGTGTTCATATCTTTTACTTTTTTTGTTAATTTCTAAGTATTTTATTCTTTAATACTATTATAAGTGGAATTGCTTTCTACATTTCCTATTTAGATTGTTCATTATTGGTGTATAGAAATACAGTTGGGTTTTTTTTTTATTTATTTTTTTTAAATTTATGATAGTCACAGAGAGAGAGAGAGAGAGAGAGAGAGAGAGAGGCAGAGACATAGGCAGAGGGAGAAGCAGGCTCCATGCACCGGGAGCCCGACATGGGATTCGATCCCGGGTCTCCAGGATCGTGCCCTGGGCCAAAGGCAGGCGCCAAACCGCTGCGCCACCCAGGGATCCCACAGTTGGGTTTTTTATGTTATATTTGTATCCTGTTATTTTGTTGAATTCATTTTATTTTATTTTTTTAGATTTTATTTATTTATTCATGAGAGAGAGAGAGAGGCAGAGACACGGGCAAAGGGAGAAGCAGGCTCCATGCAGGGAACCCTATGTGGGACTCCATCCCGGATCCCAGGATCACACCTTGAGCCGAAGGCAGAGATGTTCAACCACTGAGCCACTCAGGCGTCCCAAATTCATTTATTTTAAAAGTTTTTTAATTATTTAGGCTTAGTTTTTTGTGTATAATATATTTACAAGGAAAGGTAATTTTACTTCTTTCGTTTAGGGTGCCTTTCTTCCTTTTTTTTTTTTTTTTTCCCTCTGTCTAGAGCTTCCAATACCATTTTGAATAGTAGTAGTGAATGTTGGCATCCTTCTTCCTGACCTTGGAAAAAAGCTTTCAGTCTATCACAGTTGAGTATATTAGCCATGTTGTAATCTTTTGCTTTTACTATGTTAAGGTAGTTTCCTTCTGTTCTTCATTTGTTGACTATTTTCATCATGAAAGGGTGTTAAATTTTGATAGACATTTTTTTTGCATTAGCTGAAATGATTATATATTTTTTTCCTCATTCTCTGAATGTAATGCATTACATTGATTAATTTTTGTATGCTGAAGCATCCTTTCTTCTAGAAATAAATCCCAGTGGGTCATGATGTATATTTTGTTGATTTTTTACATCGATGAATCATCAAGTATATTGGGCTGTAGTTTGCTTGTAGTGGCTTTGTCTGTTTTTTGTTAAAAAATGGTGTTAGTTCTTCATTAAGTGGTTGGCAGAACTCAGGAGTGAAACCGTCAAGTCCAGGGCTTTTCTTTGAAAGGAAGTTTTTGATTAGTGATTTAGTCTCCTTTTAGTATTCTCTTATAATGTCTTTTATTTCTATAGAATTGTAGTCATGTTCCCACTATAATTTTTCATTTTACTATTTTGAATAGTAAAAACTTTTTTTTTTTAAAGCCAATCTAGGTAAAAGTTTGTCACTTTTGGATTTCATCTTTTATTTATTTGAGAGAGAGAGCACGAGTGAGGTTGGGGGAAGAGCAGAGGGAGAGGGACAAGCAGACTCACTTCTGAGCAGGGAGCCTAATATGGGGCTCGATCCCAGGACCCTGAGATCATGACCTGAGCAGAAGGCAGACATTTAGTGGACTGCCTACAAGGTGCCCCTTATCAATTTTTTTTTTAGAGATTTTATTTTTTTAAGTAAGCTCTAAACTCAACATGGGGCTTAAACTCACAACGCCAAGATCAAGAGTCATGCATGTACCACTGACTGAGCCAGCCAGGCACCCCGAAAGTTTGTCCAAATTTTGATAGCTTTTTGAAAGAACCAGCTTTCAGTTTTGTTGATTTTTCTTTATTTTTTCCTGTCTCTATTTATCTCAATTCTAATCTTTATTATTTCCTTTTTTTTTCCTTATTTTTTCTGCTGGTTTGAGTTACTTGGCTCTTTTTTGTAGTTCTTTCAGTTGTAGAGTTAAGTTGTTGATTCAAGATCTTTCTTCTTGGGACACCTGGGTGGCTCAGTGGTTGAGTGCCTTTGGCTCAGGGCGTGATCCCAGGGTCCTGGGATTGAATCCCACATCAAGCTTCCTGTAGGGAGTCTGCTTCTCCCTCTGTGTCTGCCTCTGTCTCTGCCTCTCTTTGTCTCTCATGAATAAATAAATCTAAAAAAAAAAAATTCTTCTTTTTAATGTGTTTATGGCAATAAATTTCCCCCTTTAGTGTTGTTTTTCCTTCTTCACATAATTTTTGCTGATACTGGCTTTTCATTTGTCTCTAAAATACTAAAGTATTTTCTAATCTTTCTTGTGAGTCTTCTTTGACTCATTGGTTGTTTAAAAATGATCTGATTAATTTTCATAGATTTGTGACTTTTCCAGTTTTCCTTCTCTTTTTGATTTCTAACTTCATCTATTTTGGTTGGAAAGATACTTTGCCTGACTTCTGTCTTTTTAAATCCAATAACACTTCATTTGTGGCTGAGCATATGGTTTCTCCTGGAAAATGTCCCATGTGCAATTGAAACAAATATATATTCTGTTGCTGTTGGATGGAGTATTATGTATATTCTGCTAGGTCTGGTTGGTTATTGTGTTGTTCAGGTCTTCTATTTGCTTCTGTGTGTTTGTTCTATATTATTGAGAATGGGGCATTGATGTCTCCAACTATTATTTTAGAACTGTCTTTTTCTCCCCTCAATTTCATCAATTTTTGCTTCATAGGTTTTGATGGTCTATAATTTAACAGAGATCTTTATTTGGTTATAGTTGCATAAGTGTTTATAACTTATCTTTTCTTATATATTGAAACTTTTATTAATACATAGTATTTTCCTTTTCTCATAACCTTTTTTAATATAAAGTTTATTGTCCGATACTAATATAGCCACCCTACTCTCTTTGGATTACTATTTGCATGGAATGTGTTTTTCCAAGTATTCACTTTCAATTTACTTGTGTCTTTGGGTCTAAAGTGAGTGTCTTGTGGACCACACATAGCTGGATCATGTTCTGTTATCCATTCTACCAATTTTGTCTTTGATTTAGAGAGTTTGGTCTATTTACATTTATAGTAACTACTGATGAGGTACTTGTATCATTTTGCTCTTTGTTTTCTATTTGCCTTGTAGTGTTTTTTTTTGTCTCTCATTTTCTACATTACTGTCTTGTGTTCATTTGACTTTTTTGTAGTGAAATGTTTTGATTTGTTGGGGTTTTCTTGTATACTTTCTAGAGCACTTTATATTGGGGTTTTTGGTTTTTTTGTGTTTCTTGAGGATTTTTGTTTTGTTTTGTTTTTAGTTAACCATGTGGTTCATTTAACATATAAAATTATAACACATAATTTGAATTTATACCGGCTTAGCTTCAATCATATTTTTTTTAAACTCTGCTCCTGTACAGCACTGTCCCCACCCCTTTTAGTTATTGATGTCAGGAAATTACATCTTGTGTGTGTTGCGTGTTCAAAAATTTAGACCTGTAATTGTTATTTATGCATTAATTTCTTTTTTAAAAAAATTTTTATTTATTTATGATAGGCACACAGTGAGAGAGAGAGAGGCAGAGACACAGGCAGAGGGAGAAGCAGGCTCCATGCACTGGGAGCCCGACGTGGGATTCGATCCCGGATCTCCAGGATCGCACCCTGGGCCAAAGGCAGGCGCTAAACTGCTGTGCCACCCAGGGATCCCATATGCATTAATTTCTTAAACATAGAAAACAAAAAGTGGAGTTATAAAAGCCAAGTTATTAGCTTTTATAATTGTATATTTAACAGAGATCTCTATTTGGTCAAATGGCTTTTTTTTTTTTTTTTTAAGATTTTATTTATTCATTCATGAGAGACACAGAGAGGCAGAGGCACAGGCAGAGAAGAAGCAGGCTCCATGCAGGAAGCCCGACGCGGGACTCAATCCCAGGACTCCAGGATCATGCCCTGGGCTGAAGGCAGGCGCTAAACTGCCAAGCCACCCAGGCATCCCTGGCCAAATGGCTTTGAGTTACTACCTAGTGTCCCGAAGGACCCCCATTAGCATTTCTTGCGGGACACTTTTAGTAGCAAAGAACTCATTTGGCTTTTATTTATATGCAGGGTCTTAAGTTTCTCTCTCATTTTTGAAGGACAGTTTTGCCTGTTATATAAGATTTTTTTTTTTTTTTTTTTTTTAAGATTCTTTTCTTCCTTCAGTACTTGGATATATACCCCACTGCCTCTGGCCTCTGTGGATTCTGATGAGAAGTCTGATAATATTTGGAGATCCTTTGTATATGATGAATCATTTCTGTCTTGCTGCTTTCAAGATTCTCTCTTTGCCTTTTGCTTTTGAAATGTAGAGTATAACGTGCCAACTGTGAGTCTCAGATTTTATCCTGGTTCGAGTTCACTGAGCTTCTTAGATGTTAATGTTTGTATCTTCTGTCAAGTTGGTACGTTTTCAGGTATTATTTCTTCAAATAAGCTCTCTGTCTTTTTGTTTCTCTCTTCTAGACAAACACATTGCATATATTGGTTTATGATGGTATCCCACACGTTCTTATATTTTGCTCACTCTTATGTTTTACTCACTCTGGTCAATGCTTTTTCTTTCTTTCCTCAGATATGATATCTTCAAGTTTACTGGTTGTTTCTTCTGCCTACTCAGAGCTGCTTTTGTACCCTCTAGTGACCTCTTTGATTCAGTTATTATACTTTTCAGCTCCAAAATTTCTTTTTGATTTTTTTTTCCTTTTTCTATTGATATTTCTATTTTGGTCATGCAACATTTTCTTGTCCACATTTTATTTTAGCTCTGAGCATCTTTTAGACAGATGTTTTAAAGTCTTTTTTGAGGACAGTTTGTCTTGTTTTTTCTTTAGAATGGGTTAAACTTTCCTGTTCTTTGTATATACTGTGTTTTGTTGTTGTTGTTGCTGAAACTTCGACTTTTGGAGATGGTTATTTGTTTGTTTAATGCTTGTAGGATGTCTCTACTGGACATGAGTCTGAGGTGTAAACTTAAAGTCTTCTCTGTTTTTTTCTGAGACTGTGCCTTTCCCTGAAGGGGAAAATCATGTATGATGATTTTTTTATATTCCCCCATATATGTGATTTTGAATATCCTAGTCCTTGAATTTCTGCTTCCCCCAGGGGAATAAGAGAAACATGAAGGGAGGGTGGTGAGAGGGGATAGATGTCTGCCCTTTGAATCCCCTGTAAAATTGCCTGTGTCAGCGAAGGAGAGGTTTTGCAACAATGGCTGCCCACCGGTCACATCTCCACCAGCAGAAGCAGTAATCAGAGCACAGATCTGTGTTACTTGAAGGACAGGGTCCTTATTTCCCACCCTGGCTCCAGCAAGCTACTCTAGGAAAATGTGCATGACTACCTGCTCTGAGTTATACAAGTTGGGAGATGGATAACTTATACAATGCTGAGAGCTGAAATTGACAAAAATGAAAGCAATTTAGCATGTTGCAAGCCTTCACTAGACTCTAGTTGCAAAATAGTTACATCAGACTGATTCTGTCAGCGCATTTGTGGTCCAGGTGAGGAGACAGCTCCTGGTGCTTACTGTCCCACCATCTTCATTCTAGCTGGGCCTTGAGGTACTTTCTATAGTATCTTTTCTGTGATTTGTTGTGTGCTGAGTTGTTCCAGGCCAATATTAACCACTGACCTGTCCTGTCTAACCCTTAGAATTTGGATCTTCCAGATCCCATGCAATTGCTCAGCTGGGGTTAGGGGAAGAATCCCCTGTGCTTCACAGCATGGATATAATGCCAGTCTCCACTTTGGGCCCAGAGAGGGCCTGACCCAGGTGAATGTCAGCTGGAGGAGAATGTGATATCAGAGCTTTGTTCAAATCATACCAGAACCTGTCATATTTGACTTGTGTCTTGGTGCCATTGCTGGTGGCCACAGCTGACTTTACCTTCCTTTCTCTCTTCTTGACACTTTGCTGACTTATCATTTTTATGCTTTTTCCAGCCCCAGGCTAATCCTCACCTCTCTGAACCTTTTTTCTCATTCCTCACACTCTTATCTCAACAGTGATTTTCAACACTGTTGTTCTAAGTGTACACATATCTTTCAATAATATTTTTTTTTTTTAAGAGAGGATGGAGGGGAAAGGGAGAGAGAATCTTAAGCAGTTTCCATGCCCAGTGTGGAGCCTGATGTGGAGCTTGGTCTCAGCTTGAGATCACAACCTGAACCAAAATCAAGAGTCAGATGCTTAACCAACTGAGACACCCAGGCACCCCATCTTTTTTTTAATTCTTAAAACCAGTTGCTTTGTTCCAGTCAGATTTTCCTACGTGTAGACATAGACATCTACACAGCACCACATGTCACCAGCGGATGTAATCGTGCAAAAAGGCATTAACAGTAGATGATGTGTTCACCCCAGCCCAACCCTTTCCTTGTATCCTGTGCCTAGTGAGGCCTTCCCAATTCTGTGACCTTGAGGACCCAGTAGTACAAAGCAGCTGCTTCCAAAACCTAACCCCAACTTCCTTTTCCTGGAAGCAGTTCCTTATACTGGTTCTTTAATTTGTCTGATGTACATTTGTAATGAGTTTTGCCCTTTCCCAATAAAGTTGACATGTATTTCATCATCACTTCTTTGCTTTCAGGTTGTTGGCATGGAGTGGAAGATGAGGAGGTACCTTCCAAAGAGAGCATTTCTGTAGGAGTGTCACAGATTGGGACTCTTAGGTCAGGTTCATTTCCCCAGAAGGCTCAGCCCTTTGAACTGCATGGCTCAATCTTGAGAAACATTTTGCATTTGGCTGAACACCAGGGCACATATCTTGGGGAAAAACCATATACATGTTGGAAACAATTCTTTGTAGCTGCCAACCTTCAACAATACCAGGGTCAGCACACTAGAGAGATACCCGTTAGAAGTCATGTGGACAGAGGTTCATTTATAAAGAACTGTACAGTCCATGTGTTAGGGAAGCCCTTTCCCAGTGAGGAGACAGGGAAGGACTTCTTAGCCAGCATGGGATTTCTCCAACAGGTCACTCCTACTGGGGAGAAGCCAAACAATGAGTGTGAGGCTGTCTTTCACAGTGGAAAAAGTCATCACAACTGTGGAGAATGCAAGAAAGCCTTCAGCTGCACAGACATACTTGCTCAGGACCAGAGAGTCATCACTAGAGAAGGACTTTATGAATGTGGCAAATGTGGGAAAGCCTGTACCCGAAGATGTAACCTCATTCAGCACCAGAAAGTCCACACTCGAGAAAGGCCTTATGAATGTAGTGAATGTGGGAAATTCTTTACCTATTATTCCAGTTTCATTATTCATCGGAGAGTTCACACAGGAGAAAGGCCGTACGAGTGCAATGAATGTGGGAAATCCTTTAGCCAAAGCTACAGCCTCAATAGCCATAGGAAAGTTCACACTGGAGAGAAGCCTTACGAATGCAGGGAATGTGGAAAATCTTTCAGCCAAAGGTCCAACCTCATTCAACATCAGAGAGTTCACACTGGAGAAAGGCCTTATGAGTGCAGTGAATGTGGGAAGTCTTTTAGCCAAAACTTCAGTCTCATTTACCACAGGAGAGTTCACACTGGAGAAAGGCCTCATCAGTGCAGTGAATGTGGGAAATCCTTTAGCCGAAGCTCCAGCCTCATTCACCACAGGAGACTTCACACTGGAGAAAGACCTTATGAGTGCAGTAAATGTGGGAAATCCTTTAAGCAGAGCTCCAGTTTCAGTTCGCATCGGAAAGTCCACACAGGAGAAAGACCTTATGAGTGTGGGGAATGTGGAAAATCCTTTAGCCATAGCTCCAACCTCAAGAACCACTGGAGAGTTCACACTGGAGAAAGGCCTATTGAGTGCAGTGAATGTGGAAAGTCCTTTAGCTGTAAATCTAACCTTGTTAAACACCTGAGAGTTCACACTGGAGAAAGGCCTTATGAGTGTGGGGAATGTGGAAAATCCTTTAGCCAAAGCTCCAGCCTTATTCAACACCGGAGAGTTCATACTGGAAAGACGCCTATTGAGTGCAGACAATGTGGGAAATCCTTTAGCTCCAAATCTGACCTCATTCAACACCAGAGACTTCATACTAGAGAAAGGCCTTAGATGTACAGAGATGTGCAGTTTCCTTTAAGATAATTACACTGGAGGAGAGAAGTTGTGAAGAAGCCATCTACCTAAATTTAAGCCCATACTACTGAAAATCCACAGTGAGGAGATCTCCCTTTAGTTGAAGAATGTGTGAATCTGTAAGGAGTTGTGTTAAGCTTTCTAACCTGTCTAGGGCTCTTGCCAGATTTATGTCACTCTCGGTTTTTGTGGAAGTGTTTTGTCACATCTGCCACTCAGCAGGTTCACACAGTGTGCATCAGATACGTTATATACCCCTGCAATGTGCTCAGGGAAGCTGACCTCTTTGCCTCCCCTTTTGCTGGAGGGAAATCATGTTAGTCTTAGCCCTTATAGGGTCTTCATTCTCTTCTCTTGTAGAAGTTAGGGCATGGCCCAGTGGACCCAATCTGAGTTCTGCTGGTAACTTGCCAAGAAGGACCACATTTTCTAGGATGTGCTAGTTATGTGTGATACTCCTCTTGGATTTTCCTGTCTTCCAAGTCACCAACCTGGGAACTCCCTGCCTAATATTGCATTGGACTTTGCAATAATAAAGAGATTATTTAAGCCACCTTTGATCTTGGAGTTCTATTCACTGTGTGAGGTGAATTGAAAACAGCTGGGCTTTTCAGCATTAAGGAGCAAACAGCTTTATTGGGGTTCCCAGTGTTTTTGTGCCTCAGAGATGACCGTCTGATGAAAGAAAATAGCTCTTTCCAGCTTTGGCCTAATTTACATTGTTACTGGAGGTCTCCTAGGAAAGACAGCAGGGCCTTATCTTAATTTGTGGACTGGCTATCAGGATTTTTTTTTTGGGGGGGGGGGCTCAGAGAACACTGTGAAAAGTCAGGAAGTTGTGACAACCTTCAGTGCTTCTGAAAACTACATGACTTTCCTTTTTCACAGTGGATGTCACATAATGGTCAGTAGTATTCAGGGGAATCTCTACTCTAGATCCTATGAATGAGCCATGTCCCCTAATTCCCAGAATTCACTAGGCTAGTGTCATGGTGAGAATTCAAGGCCCCGGAGAAACCATAATTGGTACAGTAACACTGCAGCAGAGAAGACTCCAGCAAAGTAGATGGCATGTGCCTCTTCTAACATTGCATCAACAAATGATCCAATGACTGTGACTGCAGGATCACTGTGCACAGAAATTCTCAGGATCTCCATGTATGTGGATCTTTTATGGCTGAGATCTTTGTCAAAGAAAATAAACTATTGGTTTTGTGGATTCCCATAGCCTTTCTGGTATGTTCACCTAAAGGCCATTTCTACACAGATAGGAAAACAAGCAGAGAAAGGAGATCCCTTAGTTCCTCAATGTAGCTCTGTGACCTAGCCAGCATTCCCGTTGACTTTGAAATAGATTTAATTGCTCATAAATATTTGCTACCACTAAGGCAAGGCTGCTCCTCCTCCAAGGTCATTAGGAAAGAGTCAATATGGGGCTACCAAACCTGATTTTATGAAAAGAGAGAGAGGTACAGGGTTTTGTGGGGTTTTTGAGGTTTTTTTGGAACTATCTTGTAGAACTTTATTCAGGTATAGTTGTCATGCAAAATAGTGCACCTATTTGAGGTGTACAGTTTGTTAACTTTGCCATACATATAAACCCACAAAACTTGATCATAATCATGATTTGTGAACATGTCTGTCACCCCTAATTTGCCTCATGTAATTTTATAATGTCTTTTCTCTCTACAGGCAACCTTTGAGTTACCTTCATTTATAATAAATTTGTATTTTCTAGAATTTTATATGATCTGAGTCATAAAATGTTCGTTTTTTTTTTCCTGGTTTCATGATTTGTAATTATTTTGAGATTCTTCAGTGATGCTTACATAATTATTTTGCTCTATTGCTGCATAGAATCTTTAACATGGATATACCATTTGTTTATCCACTCATCTGTTAGAGGCCTTTAGGTGCCTCGTCTTGGCATTGCAAATAAAGCTGCTAGAACATTTGTGTATAATTTAATATGTATATATGTATTTTTCTCTTCTCTTGTGTTATAACTCAAAGTAAAATGCCTGAGTCATAGGATAGGTGAATGTTTGAATGTTTAACTTATTAAGAAACTACCAAACTGATCTAAAATGATTTCTTTTGCTTTTGCATACCCACCAGGAGTGCACAAGTGTTCCAGTTTTCATGCTCTTGCCAGTACATGGCATCATCAGTCTTTTCATTCAGTCTTTTGAATTTACCCTTTTAACAAGCAAGAAGCAATTTTAACTGCATTTCCCTAAGGATTTATGATGTCAAAAAATTTTTGCTTCTGTTCATTTGTCATCTGTGTATCTTCTTGATAAAATGTCTGTTCATATCTACTGCCTGTTTTCTTTTTTATGAATTGTGGCTGTTTTCTTTTTTATTAACAAAGAGACCACTTATTTTTGTTCCTCTGGTGTTTTTTACTATGTACAATGTAATGATTATATACACCACACACTTTTAAGTTTAATCTGAATTATTTACATGTTTTCTATTGTGTTCTTAAGTCTGGACTTTCAGTAATATATGTAAATCCTGGTTTGTAGTGTCTTTCAAGTTCTCTGATGTAAGTACTCCCACTATGGCCAATTTCAAACTGTCAGTGTGATGTCACCGTGCACAGTTGGGAAAAGTTCCCAGAGGCACACCATTCTATTTTCCACCCTTCTGATCCAGTAACTGCAAGTAACCTGTAGAACATAGATGATCATAAAGCATACTAAAATCATGAAGAAGTGACAAGTTTTAAAGATTTGTTTAATAGAGCTGTAGTTGGCAACTATAAACTGCACATAGTTAATATATACATTTTAGTGTTTTGAGACATCCTTAAGATCCTTGAGACCAAAATTTCATTGAAAACGTAAAGATCTATGATACTGACAATTAGGTTAAATACTTCAGTTCAAGAAACAAAAAGCAGGCAAGCTATTTGAAATACAGGAAATTCTTGGGAAAAAGTAAAACTTTGGTGTTTTTTTTTTTTCACAAAGGATCAGCAATTACCAATTGAGATGCAATTTGCCAACGTTTTATTTTGGGATCCAAGCCTGTTTTCATTATGAACCCTCTGGAAATTTATATCTTCATTTTTGTTTACAGAAAAACTGTGAATAATCCAGCATAATTCTCAGCTTGGGGTTCCATAAAAGGATTGGGAAATCTCGATTTGAAAACATTCCAAAGGAACATTTAGAGTTTAAAGTGCTATTATGCTCTCAACATTCTTGATATTATCACCCATATTTAACTGAGGAGCAAGGCTTAGCCTCTAATTTCTAAATTTTTCCAGTGCAGATAAATTGTTTATTGAAATCTCTCATATTTCAGTTGCCCATGTTTGGTATGGTTTTTTTAAAAATTTTTTCTTAATTTTTATTTATTTATGATAGTCACACACAGAGAGAGAGGCAGAGACATAGGCAGAGGGAGAAGCAGGCTCCATGCACCGGGAGCCCGACGTGGGATTCGATCCCGGGTCTCCAGGATCGTGCCCTGGGCCAAAGGCAAGCGCCAAACTGCTGCGCCACCCAGGGATCCCCCAGTATGTTTTTTTAATAACAATATAAGCAGCACTCATGTTTGGAGAAGATAATAGCTGTCTATTGTCTCCCTGCCTCAGATCCAGGGCTAGGTCTCAGAGAACACATCTCACTAGCTGTAACCACAGCTGTCCCCGGGCATCTGGCAGGGGCTAAATGTGTTTGTGTAAATTTATCATGTATTTAAATGAGAACTTTAAAGTAAATTCAAAAATGAAATAACAAAAGGAAGCAGTAGGCAAAACCACAATTGAATCAAATAAGAGAAAAGAAACTGGAAAAGGGCCAGGAATCATTTTGAAGACATACCAAGAATATATATACAAATTAGGTAAGGTTCATTAACTTGTAGGAAGTAGCCATTTTGTTTACATCTGAGAAACCACAATAGATATTTAAGAATCCTCAGAGAAATGTCATCTCATGGTAAGTTACTGCTACCTTGGTCCCATCATTAAAGTTCCTATACTCACATAATTGAAACAAATGAAGCCATCCAGTCATCTGCTGGCAAATATTTTGTTCTATATGTTCCATTCAGTGCCTAGTTCAACAACCTTTCAATCACATTCACTCTCAAAGATGAATCCAACAGTTTATCACTTTACTCAGTTTTCCATGGGATACCTTTGAAGTTCAGCCATCACATACAGCCTCTACTGGCAAAACCCTAATTAGTTTTAGCTGTCCTGAGGTACCCATATATAGCAGTACATTGATGACATCCTCCTGTGAGGGAACTTACTAGGCATACAAGACCAACAATCACTGTTGCACTTATAGAGAGTAGATGGTCTGTTGCCCCCATCCCCATAAAGTTCAGGGTTATGCCACTTCAGTGAGTCTTAAGTTCATCTAGTATACCTAAGGGCCACTCTATTCCTGATGTTGCTAAAAGGCAACTTCTAGTCAGGAGTTGAATGCTCCAATCAGTCTCAAGCAGGCCAACCTACTGAGTGTGGCTTCTGAAGGCAACGTATTCTCCATTTACAAATACTACTAGTTTATTTGTGCACTCACCCACAAATCAGCCTGCTTTGGGGACCTTTACAACAAAAGGCCCTGGATTCAAGTCAGATGGCCATACAGCAGCTCACCTTTTACTTGCCTCCTGGCAACCATGTGGTGGAAGTTCTGGTGCTCACCTCCTATGTTTATTAGAATCTGTACTACTCATGCTGGCAGTAAGTTACCTGCAGGCTTTTCTGATAGAGAAAGCTGCCTTTTTTTACTCCACATTACATGCCCTTTGAGCAACCACTGTTGGCTGCTTACTGAGCCCTTTTGGAGATGGAGGCTTTCAGAGGACCTGAACCTGTGGCACTCTGTCCTCAGTTACCAATTATTTTCTGGGTTATGAAGGCTACACCCCACAAGCTCAGCATGACCATCAGGTTTTGATAAGGGATGGAGCCAAACCTAGACCCACTGGTGTATCCCACCTGATAGAAGAGGTGGTCTTACCTGTCCTCAGTCTCTAGCCAGATGCCACAGTGATGAAGGAGGACACCCTTCTGGGTATGATCATCTCACTATCAAATGCTCCTTTGGCTCTCTGCCAGAGTTATTTGGCACCCTGCTAAATGCTGATTTGCTTAGCTTACACCACAAGCTTAGCCAAATATTCCTGGCTATAAAAAATACTTAATTTCTAATGCCTATAATAATCTTAATAAATAGAGATTATGTGTCCAAGACTCACACACAGCAGTGTGAATAGCGGAGAGGTCAAGGAGAACTAAAACTGGACAAACCTAATAAGATATTCCACTAAGGAATGCAGGTTCCCTCCAACCACATAGACCTGAAATGGGAACATCACCCAGTCCACACTAAGCCCATGTGGTTAGTGGGCCCTTAGTGCCTCAGGTTAAAGCACTCATACAAAACAAATACTATTGCCCAGCCTTCTGGCTTCTCATAGCTTGGCTATACCTACTTTGAGTAGGTAATAGCATGGGCCTGGAACACTGCAGGCCATAAGCAGACCCCATCTGGCAATGCAGCAGCCATCTGGTTATATTTTGGCACACTGACACCTATGGCCTCTTAAACACCACTGCTCTACCAACCACTAGTTAGCACCATGATTTTGTTCCCATCTCACTGGCAAAATGTTGTACAGTTGGACATGCCACAAGTTTCTCTTTCAGCTGATCAAACATGCTGAAGCCTATTCAGATGATCTTAAAGAAACGTTGGCCATAGCACTACCCACACCCTATTGATCTCTTTGGATGGATACATTTCCATATCTAAACCTTGATTGTTCTAGTGGCCTTTCCTTTTAAAACCAACTCAAACTAGTCAGGATGGTCACTATAATGTCATGACCAAAAATGCTTACTGACAATATAGAAATTCTTGATTGCCCATGTCAAATGCTAAGCTCAAAATTTTAGCTCCCAAGGACTATTTTTACCCCTCATTTCTGCAGGCATATATTGCTCCACCTCGGATTTGTCTTAATTTGACTTGCACCATCTCCATTTGGGTGCTAAATATAACCTTTTGACCCCCTGCCAAAAAAGTTCTGTATCTTTATTGTGGAGGTAGTTAATGAATCCACACATATAAAATTGCACAGGACTACACACACACACACACACACACACACACACAAGTACATGTAAAATGGTAACTTTGGGGAAGATCCAAAGATTAAGTTCCTGATTTTGATATTAAGATTATGTCCGATGTTACCATAGGGGAAACTAAGTGAAAGATATTACAACTTCTTGTGAATCTATAATTATTTTAAAATAAGGCATTTAAAAAAATCATGTGTCTATTGTGTTAAATCCTTCCCATACCTTCCCAGAACAGTCAGAATAAAATCCAGATTTTCATTACAGCCTATGAAAAACCATGTTCATCAGTCCCTTTCCCCTCATCCCTCCAACCACCACTCTCCTCTTCCAGCTCTACTGGCATTCACTTGATTCCACAAACAAGCCAAGCTCTTACTAACTTTGGGGTCTTGGCACATGCTTTTCTCTTTGCCAAGAATTTTCCTTCACCTTTGCGCTGGGATGGAGTCTTCACTGGGCTGTATAATATCATCTGTTATTTAATGTCTGCTTCACTTTCTGTGCTGTACAATTTTATGTCCATTATTCTGGTTTTACAGACATGAATCTTGAAGCCTAGGGAGAGTAGACATGACCAAGGTCAGCCAGTTGGTAATGGGCACAGCTCTACCCACCATCAAGCACTTAGCTATTAGCCCTCTAACCCTCTTCACATGTGAACTAGAAGAAAGTAAGATAAAGAGCCAAGAAATCCAGTTCTAAGCTTCATCTTTAGTTAAGACATCAAAATCTTGAAGTTAGGTTTACTTCAAAAAATAATGGAATAAAACATATGGAAATGCAAAAGACCTATAAGAGTCAAAATGTTTTCTTTAAAGTAGAACAAATCTGGACCTTAAAAATCTGATTTCAGGGATCCCCGGGTGGCGCAGCAGTTTGGTGCCTGCCTTTGGCCCGGGGCGCGATCCTGGAGACCCAGGATCGAATCCCACGTCGGGCTCCCGGTGCATGGAGCCTGCTTCTCCCTCTGCCTGTGTCTCTGCCTCTCTCTCTCTCTGTGACTATCATAAATAAATAAAAATTAAAAAAAAAAATCTGATTTCAAAACTTAATATAAAGCTATGGTAATGAGAGTGTGGCATTATTCTGAAGAAAAAAAAAGTGTGATATCCTCGGTCACAAAAAAGCCCACAAAAACTCCTCAACTCTACCCTCAGAATATTCACAGATAACCCAAAATGGAACATAGACCTTGATATAAGA